CCCCCCCCTCCAGTTGTAGCTCTGCTCTACTACTTCCTGTTTGCAGTTTTGGTTCAATCAGTTCCCATCAGCCCAGCGCCCAACACTCCCCCGGTGTTGAAGGAGGCAGCCGAGCGAGCAAAGACGCTGGTGGAGAAAATCCTCAGAGAGCTCCCTGCCGTGCACACTGCCACCGTCAACACAGAGGTGAGCAACACTTCGGATTGGCCGGCTCAGCTCCTGCTCTTCTTTTGTCAATAACCTTTTCCTGTCCTCCTCAGGGTTTGACCCTCGACCCCGCGCCTCAGACTCCAAACCTGCAGATGATGGTGACCTCCCTGGGCATCCCCGCCACCCCCATCCTCAAACCACTGTCTGAACGCTTCACAATGGTCAGTCTGAGCAGGTTCTTCGGGTTCTTGTGGAGAACAGGTTCTGGGAGTGGTCTCAGGGTTTCTTTAGTTCAATCAATCACATTTTATTGGTCTCATAGATCTTAACAAGCAGCAACACCCTCTGTTCTCAACCCTCAACAAGAGGAAAACTACCCAAAAACTCTGTTGACAGTAAATAAACTTCAGAGAGTCATGGAGGGAAATCACATTTGACAGATGAATTGATTTGTTGGTGACTGAGTTGGGACGTTAGCTCCTTTTGGTCTAGTGGTGGAGTCCAGGTCTTCAAAAACAAGTGAGGGATCCCAGTTCAGCTGGGTTTCTTTATGTGTGGCGTTGTCTTCGGATTCTTCGGGTTCTTCGGGTTCCTCTTCATCGTAACACGCAGGTGAACTGGAGATTGTCGGTGTGAATGTGAGTGTCTCTGTATGTCAGCTGTGATTGGCTCCAGCCCCTCCTCAAAGAAGAAGTGGTATAGATGATTGATGGATAACATTTAGTATAAGTTTATTAGTATTAGTACTAGTCAGAACTGGCATAGATCAGCCCAACATCGCCTCAGTCCTCAATCATCTCATAGTTGTTGCATGCACTGATTGTGAGTCGCTCTGGATAAAAAATGACATGTAATGTAACGATGCCATGTGTGGTTGTGTCGCCCCCTGCAGGACATGTGTGTGAGTCGTATGTCAGTGGGCTGTCTGTTGTACCAGGGGCTGCTGGGAGTTTTGGCTGACAGGCTGAGTGGACTAACGAACCTGCGAGCTGACCTCAGAGACTTGCTGACCCACATCAACAAGGTAACACACACCTGAGATGATGACATCATTACTGCAGGCAGTGTCGGCTGTGATTGGTTGCTCACGAGTCCTTCTGTGTTTCAGATGAAGGAGGCAGCTCAGTTCGGCGCCGAGAGTCCGGATCAGAACCAGAGTCTGGATCTGGCCTCTCGTCTCCATGGTAACTACGAGGTGCAGGTGGCAGTCCATGTGACGCTGACACAGCTTCGTTCGTTCTGTCATGACCTGATCCGCAGTCTGAGGGCCATCGCAACCTACAGGCGCCGAGCTGCAGGTGCACGCTAAGCAGTTACCTGCTAATCCAAAAATGGGTAAAGAGGAGGAGCACAAATGGAGCTGAGGTGGGCTGAATGAAGACTGACAGCTGAACCACGCCCACAGGGCTCAACCTGGTTAGCTCAGGCTAAGGAGCTAGGCCACATGCTAGCCGTTGTTGCTAGCTGGCTAGTGCTGCGGTGTTGTTGCTACGGGATGGTCGCGGTCGTCTAAACAAACTTGACTAGAGGTTAGTTACCCCGAAACGATACCACAACAAATACTTTTGATTTATCTATTATCATAATCATACTTCATAAGCTTTCACGTGCGTCTCCAACCCTGCGTCTCAACTGTGTCTCAGAACTTGTGTCTCCAACCCTGCGTCTCCAACCCTGCGTCTCCGAACCTGCGTCAATGATCAAACAATCTTCTGACTAATTGACTGTCTTTGGATTTCAAGTGGCAGCTCGTGAAAGGACAGGAACAGGAATCGCTCTTGTGATTTAGATCATTTGTTTATTGAATATTATTGATTAACAATTCTGATCAGATAAGCAGTGACAGATTTAAAGGTACAGTGTGTAGAATTTAGTGACATCTAGTGTTGAAGTGTCATGTTGCAGCTGAACACCCCTCACCCCCCCCCCCCCCCAAACATGAAAAAGAACCTGTGGCAGCTTCAGTCGTTATAAAAACTCAAAAGGTTTTAGTTTGTTCAGTCTG